TTTGTAGAGAAAAGTCAGATCTCCCCTCGGCCTTTTTGTTTGTTTTTGGTTTGACTAAACAAGCCAAGTGCATAGAGTCTCCTCAAAAGTATTCAGTTTCTTAGATCAGCCTTGTTGCCCTTCTTTGCACGTGTTCCAGTTTTAATTCATCTCGATTAAATATGGGAGACCAGAATTGCAATAGTCCAAATGAAATTTCACCAGTACATTGTATCTCTCAATATATTAGAAAAAAAAGTTTTTCCTGCGGGATGACAGAGATGTCTTCATGTCACTCTGCATCCCGCCTACCTCCTCCGTTTCTCCTTCCTCCCTTCTCTTGAGCCTGACCTTGCTGCTCCCCCTCGCCACTTGGAATTGCTATTTTAAACCAAGCCCCTATTCCCCTTCCTCCACCCCCACCACACCGGGCTTTCAATGCCAAGAATCATGGCACAGTAGGCAGCAGACTCCAAATCGCAGCCGTGACAGCCCAGGGGTCGGGGGCATGTGTGTGTGCGTGTGTGTGTGCGCGCGCAGTGCTCAGGACAGCAGCCCGGGGACAAGATCTAGGAGCGGGGCTCCCAGCCAGGCTTATGTGCCAGCAGCGGGCTCTTGGGGAGCCAGAGCTCAGTGCCTGACCACTCGGAGTCCAGCTACTCCTGTGGAGACTCACCCCTTCCCCAGCGGCTGCACTTACCACAGTTGCCAGAGCACCACTGCACTGAATTGTCTACTCCTTCCCTTCTGCTCCCGGTGGGCAGGTGGGCAGTCCTGGGCTCTGTGGGAGCAATGAATGCGGGACCAGATGAGGGAGAGGTCTGAATAGGGATCCCACTTGATTGGTTAACTGGCTAAATGTTAAGTTAACCTAACATTTAACTGGTTAACTGATTAATTGGGATTTTACATTCCTACCTTGGATGTGGTAATTTCTACTTCCATATCCCATTCCCACCCTGCCACTATCCCCAAGATCTTCATTACCCTTATATAAAGCTCTCTCGTGCCAGTCAAATCTGGCTAGTGTACATTATAAGCCATGTCAGAAAATTTCAAATTAGAACAGAATTATTTTTCATTTTTCCAAAAGGCTCCAGTGGTCTTGGGCTGGATTTTTAAAAGATACTGAGATACATGTGGGGTTTTCAAAAATGCTTTTAAAAAATCAATAGATGTAAGGTACCAGCTTCTCTTCTTAGTGACTCCACTCACTTCTTTTGTGATTCCAGACAGATCTGACAATCTCTTTGGGTGAGACAAAATGGTGAGGTTATATCTTTTATCAGGCACACTCAGGAGCGGCCTGAGGCCAGCGGTGGCAGCTGGCACCCCAGGTGGAAGGCGCGATCGGCGCCCCCGCCTGCATGGCTGTCAATGGCCATGATGCAATCATCAGGCGCTCTGTTATGTCATCATTGAGCGCCTTGGGCTGGCAACGCCCTAGATGACCGCCGAGTCTGCCTAGGCTCACGGGCCTCCCCTAGGCACACTTCTGTTTGAGACTCAAAAACGTGTGTCTCTTACCAACAGAAGTTGGCCTGATAAGACATTACCTCACCCACCTTGTTTCTCTACTATCCTGGGACTGACACAGCTACACCTACACTGCGTACAACTTCTTGGGGGGTCTGTTTCCTCTTATGCAAAAGTGAATGTAATTGCTTCCTCCCAGCACTATGTTAAAATGTATCATTTGTGGCAATACTCTCCAAAGACAAAGAAGTATTATACATATTCAAGGAAATGTTGTATTGCCAACTCTATAGTCCCTAGATGCTTTTGGTAGAACTTTAGAGACACTTCCTGTGAACTCTTCATCCTTCTATGTGGACTAAGTGTGCAACCCTGATCATTTTACACATGTGCAGTTGGGAATTTGCACTCTGTGTCCTCCCAAAGGCAGGAAGAACAACTAGGTTGGAGAAAGGCACTATCAGGACCACTCAAACACCAGCAGGGGATATTTGACTAGATGATGTAATAGGTCTTCCCCATGCCAGATCATATTTTCTATTATCCTGATAAAGGATCATGTGGGAAGAGGCATTTTCATTAAAGCACAGTTCATCTCCAATCTATTGTGCCTATATCCATTAGGGACTAGTTAAAATTTAATTGCACATTCGCCATACATTACAAAGTGTGTATATATGTGTGCTGGTAACTGAGGATGGAGTACAATTTAGCATCCTCTCTCAGGACGGGTTCTTTCTGTCATGGATTTATTTACAGCGAGGCATTTAAAGAATTGTTTGGCTAAAACACAGACTGAAGCCACGGTGTCTTTTCCTGGATCTGAACATCCCTGAGGGCTGAGGGTTGGTATGTCTGTGTGTTGGATCTAGAATAGGGAGCGGTACCCCCATGAAGGTCTCGTCTAGATTTGAACTTCCTCAAAGGTCCTGGTCTTTGGATCCCTAGGTTTGGTTTGTGCCCATCGCTATTTTGGGCCAGGAGAAGAGAAAGTTAAATATGTGATGTTTTTTAAAAGGTAACACCTAGTAAATATTACCATAATTTTAATTGAATCTAAACACTTCCACTTCTCACCTAGGTTGATTCATTAAAGTTATAGTAAATAGCAGGTCTGCTTAAGGGAGGGACGGGAGGAGTCTGGGGGTGGGGTGAAGGGTCAAAGGGGACAGTTGCCCCAGGGCCTGGAGATTTCAAAGGTTCTGGGGTTCCAGGCATCATGCTCCAGACGGCTCTTAGGATTGCATGGGGAAGTGAGTGGGCTATGCCGCATGCTCCAGGCACCACTGCGGGGAGGTGCACCGCGGTCCATGCGGTGCTGAGGGCTGGCAGCCCTGTCCCCACCCCTTCTGCCTGAGACCCTGCCCCCTTCTGGGAACATGAGGCCATCCACTCTCACCTTGCCCAAGAGCCCGGAGAGTCTGTTGGCTCACCTGAGAGAAAGCAGGGTTTAAATTTACCTGGAGCTGTTCAGAGAAGAGCTCTGGTAAATATTTTCAACCTTCGTGGAGTTTTTATAGCATGTTGGAAGGGGAAAATATGGTGTGTGTGTGGGGGGGGGGGCAACTCCAAGAAATACTCTATGCTAATTTAAGCCCTGAGTAAAAGGGCTGAATAATATCTTAGATTATTTGCTATTACCACTAGCTCTTAAAACACAGCAGACAGGCTTTAGCATAAAGTAGTAAAACATCACATTCTATAGATAAAACACTGACGTACTTAAAAACAAATACTAATGCCTCAGTTACTGCAGGGAGAGGGAAAAAGGATGCTGCCTCTTTAAAACTGTCCCCTAGAACAAATTTTTAACCTTATTTATAAAATATGAATAGCAGAGTGTTATTACTGGCTTCTCAAGACCAAAACTCTGAGAGTGTGGAGAACACTCTTCACAGAGTAGAATGGCAGAAATGGTGTGTTAGACTCAATAATGTATTACTTTTTATTTATGTTGTTTTGTGTTTTCACCTCTAAAAATAGTCCTTTTGCATGGAAAATCTTTATGGTAAGGGGATTCCATTTCTATAGAATATTTATTTAGTTAGTCTCTGTGTACAGTCTGGAAGAACTGAAGCTCAAAATGAAAGCACTATTGGCAAGGCATCTTGGTGTACTAAATCCCATCCTGTTGTGTCTATGTCAAAATACTTTATGACCACCTTAGACATAAAGGATGGTTTTGTTATGGTTGATACTTTTCAAACTGAGTCCTTTCCTAGACAACATGCAATGCCCAGGATGGTTTCTTCCAGTGCTCACATGCTCTCTCTGCTTACTCAGCTGACCCCACAGGCTGTAATAATCTGTCAATTAAAACAATTCAGAAGGGAGTTTTGACATGTTGCAACTTCCCTAAAGAGTGTGATTGTCCATCATACAAATAGAAACCTCTCTAAAAGGTACAATTAGCAATTTTCAGGACTATGAATGTAAGTCAGCTGAGCCAATGTTTTCAAAATTGGCCACACATTTTGGGTGCCCCAGTTTTCAGATATCCTGCACAAAACACCTTGGGCCTGATTTTTTCAGAGCTGCTGAAAGCCTACATCTGCATCAGAAGTTAATGGAACATTTGATTCATCAGCACTTCTGAAAATCAGGCCCAACCCCAATGTGTCATAGGTTGAATCCTGAAAGACTAATGAGTGCAAAATCACTGGCCTTTTTCAGATTCTCTCCTCTATCTTTGTTCCCACCATATGTAAAGCTTGTATTATTATAAGAAAATAAAAAGAGGAGATAGACTTCCAGAACATAGAGCTATTAGCCCTGCCACAAGCCATTTATTTTACATTACTCTTTGAATAGCTGTTTATATAATGTTATATATATTTTTTTCTTTTTTAAAAATTCGGAACTGGTTGGAAGTTCCATCAGCATGACTTAGACCTGTGCTGAAAGGGACAGCAAGCAGGCTCTACAGTGTGGGATTTGCTTTCCTCCTTTTTCCTAAATCATTTAGTGCAGCACACGTTTATGATAATAAACTCAAAAGGAAGTTGGAACTGATTATTTGGTTCAGACTACACAAATCCTGCCAAATTTCCCCACAGGCATGAAACATTCACTCAAACTGTGACACCAGCAAATTAAATCCTGAAGGTAGTGGAGCAGAAGTAATGAAATGTGTATTTACCCTACTGATGCTGTCAGTCCTAAGACACACCAGCTTTACATTCTAGTTAAGTAGGGCATGTGTGTCCTTGTGAGTGGTGCTTGGTAACCAGTCCAGTTTTGTCCCCACCCTTCCTCCCAAAAGCACAAAACTAGCAAAAACTAGTAACTTCCCATGTCACACATTCGCCCACTAAAACATTAGAAAATAAGAAAATGTGACTAAATATATTTTCACATAGGGATGTAAGAGTTTAACTGGTTAACAAGAAGCAATAAGCATTGGCTTATTGGTTAACATTTAAATTCTTCAGGCAGCTGGTGGCAGGAGTGTGGGCAGGCAAGCTAGTGGCAGCACAGGGCCGATGGCCATGTGGGGTCAATGGGCAGCCAGGAGTCTGAAGCCTGCAGGGCCTGTTTAACTGTGTAATTAGTGGCATTTCCATTTTAAAACATTTTTTATCTCCCTATTTTTCCAGAATCTTGTATTCTGACCTATTATCTGCCCCTTCATTTTAAAATCGGAACTTTGTGTCAGAACCAAAGGCCAGAATTTATTGTAAATGGCCATGCAACACCTATATAGAACATAGAATACTAGAACCGGAAGGGACCTCAAGAGGCCATCAAGTCCAGTCCCCTGCCTTCACGGCAGAACCAAGCACCATCTATATCATCCCTGATAGATGACCCCGTGATCCCTTTTTTGCAGTACACCTTCCTAGATAGTCATTTTCCATTCTGTATGTGTCAAACTGATTTGTCCTTCTAAAGTAGAGTACTTTGCATTTTTTCATATTGAACTTCATCCTATTTACCTCCGACCATTTCTCCAGGTTGTCCAGATAATTTTGAATTATGACCGTATCCTCCAAAGTATTTGCAAACCTCTCCCAGCTTGGTATTGTCTGCATACTTTATAAGTGTACTCTCTGTGCTATTATCTAAATTGTTGATAAAAGATGTTGAAGAAAACCGGTCCCAAAACTGACCTCTGTGGAACCCTACTTTTTATGCTTTTCCAAGCATGACTGAACCATTAATAACTACCCTCTGAGAAGGTTATCCAGACAGTATGCACCCACCTTATAGTAGCCCCATCCAGGTTGTATTTCCTTAGTTTATTGATAAGAAGGTCATACGAGTCCATATCAAATGCTTTACTAAAGTCTAGGTATACCACATCTA